GATTGTTTTTGAAGTGCTCAACCCATAAGAGCCAAAAGCATGTGAAATGGGAAGCAATACATTTAGTCCTACCCTTGGATGAAAAGCCTTCACAAGCAGCAGGCAATAAGGACAAGTTACTTGTAAGATGAAGGACTGGGTTTAGCGCTTAGTTCCGATTATAATAGCTATTTTTGAGGGGCTTGCACTTCCAGCAAGCGTGCGTGAGCATATTTTGATGGGGTGAATGGAGACAAATGGTTTTAATACCTGATGTGCGTTGGAGTGTGAGCAAAGTAACATTTATGAAGGGATTCAGGGAAACTGGCAGGCCAGACTGGAGTCCTGGAGATGGGAAGTACAGTGTCTACACTCTGAAGGTTGGGTGTAATGTTGCAGTTTTATAATTGTAGTGTAAAACACCCCTGTGACAAGAGTGATGGAATGATGGATGATGAAAGTTTTTCTTTTTGGCCACCCTGCCTTGGTGGGAATCGGGCAATTTGTTAAAAACAAAAATTTCATGAAGTGCTAAACCGTAGGGATTATACAGCACCTTGATTATAATATGAAGGGTGCCAACCACAATGAGCGAGGAGTTTACAGGATCATTACACCAGATTTAATCCGCAGCATATACAGCAGCATGGAAAGCTGCATATCCACTACAACAGTAAGTACAAGAACTGGTCATGGTAGTGTTTGCATGATTAATTTTCCCATCTAGGATCTACATGTGGATGAATTCAGTGTTAAGATGTAAACACTTGATCATATTTAGTCTGCATGACACAGCAGGCACTAGCCCTAGCACCCCCTCCTCTTTGAATTCAAGCCTTTTCAATATTTAACTAATTCTGTTGGTATCTTCATATACAATTAACCTCAATCTCTTGCTACCCTCTACCCCCCCGCCCCGCTGTTTTCTGTAACCTACTAATCATCCCTCCCCCCTTCTGCCACCCTATACCCTCGCTTCCTTCCCTACCCTGCAGCGCTGTATAGCCCTTGTGGCTTAGCACTTCTTTTTGATTATAATAATACAGTGGACCCCCGCTTTACAATCAGCTCCCAATGCAACCAATTATGTAAGTGTATTTATGTAAGTGCGTTTGTACGTGTATGTTTGGGGGTCTGAAATGGACTAATCTACTTCACAATATTCCTTATGGGAACAAATTTGTTCAGTGCTGGCACCTGAACATACTTCTGGAATGAAATAATATCGTAAACCGGGGGTCCACTGTAATTAAGTTCAAGCAGTATTTAATTTCCCACTTTACTGACAGGCAATATGATTACTGGAGGTGGATCAGTCATAGACCTCAAGACTTTGTGATGTTCTTTATTGATTACCAACAATATTTAAATTTCTCTTCTTTTTCTTCATCTGTTTGTTACTGCCTCTTGAGCCACATCCATGTCTCCCGTTCACTTCCTTTTCTTCTCCATTTTCTTTTGCACTTTCATTAACTTTCTTTTTCTGCTTTTTCATCACCATTTCCCTGAGGAGAGAATGTTAAACTATATCAAAAGACAATCAACATGAAATAATAGGCATAATAACAACCTATAAGGGGAATTTAAAAACGAATTTATAAGCAAACCCCTCCATTTAAGGCCCATGTGAGAAAATCTATTGGGTCGAAAAATTCAAAAAAATTTAAAACAAATTATTTTTTATGTTTTTTTTGTTTTGACTGTAGTAAAAAACAAAAAAAAAAAAAAAAATCTCTCTAAAACCCCTCAAGAACAGAATAATGGGGGGGGATTATACAATAGATCCACATTTTATAAGTATTTCCCAATTTAGGGTATATTTTTTTCTCTATTTAACTGTACTGTATAATAAAAAAGGATAGTGGTTTTAAAAGTTTTTTGACAAATAATTCTATATTTAAAATAAATCATAATCCCAGAAACAATTAGGAGTCTTACTTTGTTTACGCTTGTTGAATGCTCATAAAAAAACCCCTTGTGAGAGTGACCCTTTTTTTGGTGCGGGGTAGAAAACCCTTTCTTTTCATTTTTCTTTGGTTTTTTAATGTAAGATCCAACTCGGAACATCTTGACCCGAGCTCTTAATCACATGTGCAAAACTGTTTAAAAAAAAACATTTTTCAATGAAATTTTTCAAGAAATTATATTTTCCAAATTGCTGTAAACCCAAAGGGGTCAAAGGGTTTACCCCCGGGTATCTAAGTCACTCCCTTGTAAACAATCAAAAAATTTTTAGAAAAACGAATCAAAAATTTATTTCTGCTACGTTTATGGATTTTAATGCTTTGCTATTTTTACCATAAACAAAACCCCCCTAGAAAAATGTTCTCCTTTTTCTAAACCATCTTTAAAGACCTGCATTTTTCATCCATTCAAATGCGAACGGAATGCAAAATTATCATCCATCCCCCAGAGTAAAAGTCTACTGTACTGAACTGAAATGGATGCCCTTTTGCAAGAGTGTTGTATGAGCAAAAGTGTTTTCTTTGCAGTCACCCTACCTGGCAGGAGATGGTGGAGAGCTAAAAAAAAAAAAAAAAAAAAAGCTTTAGAGAAACTGGGAAGGGAAAGTTAAATGTTACCTGATGTTAGTTGAATTTGTAAGATTTATTTACTATCTTGCTTATTCATGAGACATTATTATTATCATTATAATCAAAACTAAGTGCTAAACCCACAAGGGTCATACAGCACTGTATCCGTGAGACAGAAAAGATCTGCAATCCTACCAGACTGTCAAGTATTTAACATACTTCCATTGCACAATCATATGACAGGACAAAAGTGCCTCCTTGGATGGCGTGCTGTCTACCAACCTACTACAGTGGACCCCCAGATATCATACCTTGATATACCTTTACCTTTGAAGAATTTCGAGAGTATATCTACTCTCTGAGCCCGGCCATGGGCCAGGCTCGTCTAGTGCTCGCCTGGTCAACCAGGCTGTTGCTGCTGGAGGCCTGCTGTCCCACATATCCATCACAACCTGGTTGATCTGGCACCTGGTGAACATACTTGTCTAGTTTCCTCTTGAAGGCTTCAACACTTGTTCCAGCAGTGTTTCTGATATCTTCTGGTAAGGAGTTGAAAAGTCTGGACCCCGGATGTTGATAGTGTTCCCTTATTGTCCCCACCGCACCCTGCTCCTCACTGGGTTTATTTTACACTTCCTCCCATATGTTGTTATGGCAGTGTGCAGATTTGGGACCAAGTCCTCGAGTACCTTCCCGGTATATATTATCATGTACCTCTCTCCTCCGCTCGTAGTCATCAGATTTCGTAATATTCAGTATTGTAATGTTTTTTTGGTCAAAATATTGGCTCGGTGATGGTCAATTAGCTCGGAAATAATCGTTTGTCCCGAATGCGTACGAGCGGCCCCACACACCATTCACAGTCAGTCTGCCATTGTTTATCAGCAAGTGGCCGTCACCCCATGCGTTCATACAATACATTTCATAGTATTCCATTCTTTTTAGTGCTTGCAACTGCCAACATGGGCCCAAAGAAAGTTCTAGTGCCAGCCAGCCCTTTGGTAGAGGGCTGAGAGAGAGGGGGAGAATGTGCCTTCTTCAGTGATTCTGCAATATGTACATACTAAAGCAGCAGTAGTCGATAAAGGCTATAGCGCCAGCCAGTGATAAAGTGTAGCATTAACAGTGTAGCAAAAAAAGTTAACAATAATCGACAGAAAAGGACAGCATGAACTGACTCCTCCAATGTTCTTGGAGGTATATAGGGTGACTGACAACACTGCACCTCTGCTGCCGCCATCAGCACCACTGTAAGGCCTTTACACCAACAACAAAACACTCACTTTGTCACATACTTAATGACATATTTTATTTATTTTGAGCATATATCATGTTTCTATGTTATTAACATTGTTTATGTCATTCAGATGAATTGTGCTAGATAAATAAGCCGTAAAGTTGATATTAGTGTCATATTGAAGGACTATCTAGTCCGACGCTAAAACACCCCCTCGCCGCTTCCACAATTCTAACATACTCAAGAAAACAGACTTCTCTGGAACACTTTTTTGAGCAACAGGGGTCCAGTGACTCTCAAGCCGGTCCTAGTGGCATTAAAAAACAAAGAAGTAACCACGGAAAAGGACTTGGCACCTGAAGTCTTTATGGAAGGGGATTTCCCTTCCAAATAGTAATTTCTCCATCCTCTCCCCTCTTTCCATCTTCAATACACTAAGAAGAGTCTTCAATAAAGTTAAGAGTCATTGTTGTTATTGTTTTATTCTTCGTGTCTCATTGTTTTCTGTGTAGGTAAATGTATATTTCATGAAAAAAAAAATTTTTTTTTTTTAAAACTTTTGGATGTCTGGAATGGATAAAGTGGATTTACATTATTTCTTATGGGGAAAATGATTTTGGAAATCATCAAATTTGGCTTTAGTCACACTCTCTGGAACGGATTAATTATGATAAACGGGGTCCACTGTACTAGTGAAGTAAAGGGTAGTCAGGTTTTCACTTTTTTTTAAACCTTCTTAGGTAAGGCATTGTCAGCCATTGTCAGAATGTAATTGCATGCCCTTGGTGATGAGCTCTTCCTGTTCGTCCCACTCTATGGATGTAACTGATTGCTGATGGTGGGAAATCATAATTGATTATGAGATTGACACCCTTGAAGTCGATACCACGGGCCATGAGCTCTGTACATATCAAGACCCAAATTTTTCGTTCTCTAAATGCTCGAACGACATTGTCACGCTGGAAAAAATTAATGATTTATTTTGTGTTATTTTAACTCATGTACTAACAATGGTGTAAAAATATTTAGTTCTTATAAATAATTAACAACTGAGCAAGTAATAATCTTGAGACACTGCTGTGTGGCCAGCCTTAATATTTTTAAAGGGAGTGGAAAGCCTACCATCTCATGTATGCCAGTAAATTTTGTATAAATATTTGAATTTCATTTTGTGATAATTATTATGTTTCTTAAATAAAATTCATAAAAAGTACTGATGTGCCCATTCTTACCTGCAGTTGTGTGCGATCTGAATGGATAGCATCAACCATAATATTGTCATATATCAGCTCCTTAAATAATTCCTTTGCTCTCTCTTTGGTTTGTACAAACAACAGCACTGGAGGCTCATATCCCTGAAGCATAATTAACTAATATCACAAATTCTGTTTAAAAAAAATCCTTCCTGAAATATTTATATATACACAGTACAGGTCTCCCTCAACATTTGCGAGGATTAGGGGATCAAGAGCCTCGCGAATGTTGAAAACCGTGAATGTTTGGTGCCCAATATATTGTAGGGAATAAAAATCCAAAAACTGCTTTTTGTTGAACCTTGAACAATCATAAAATACATGAAAACGTCGTAAATTGTACTAAATATATACATGTTATTTTTTTACTAACATGTATGTTATTAAATACCACAGACTCCTCCACTGCCTCCATCAATTGCCTCACCACTTCCTAAAACCACTGCGAGTCCCTACTACCCTCCCTCCGAGCCCCGCAACGGGCAGCCAGCCCTCCCCCACTCAGTGTGGTGAGTGTTTTGTTTGTTCATTATTTGCTATTAAACTACAGTATAAATAATGTAAACCCATTCATGATGCCATATTGGAATGGCTATTCAGAAAGGTATTGGATGGTGACATCATGTGTTTACTCTTGAACACAGCAAAGAATAAAAATTTTTCTGCTTCTGCTAATAATTAACAATAGTAGTAGTAGTAATAATAATAATTATTAATAATAAAAATTAATAATACGATATAATTGAAGAAGGAAATTGTACAAAAATACGAGGGAGTGGTTGACACATCGTCAGTGTGGCTTTGTTTATGTGGAGTGAACATTAGTCTCCTGCTCTTCCAAACATTTCACAATAATTCAGGCAGTTGGGCAGTGGGATTTAATAACATATATGTTTAAAATAATAATAGTACATATTATTAATAACATGTATTTATTATTATTAATAACATGTATGTTTTTTAAATCCAAATGCCTTAACAGCTGCCCCAACCACTGCCTCAATCGCTGCCTCAACAGCTGCCTCAAAACCACTGCCTCAATCGCTGCCTCAATAGCTGCCTCAACCACTGCCTCAATCGCTGCCTCACCCACTGCCTCAATCGCTGCTCAACAGCTGCCTCAATCGCTGCCTCAACAGCTGCTTCACCCACTGCCTCAATCGCTGCCTCAACAGCTGCCTCAACCACTGCCTCAATCGCTGCCTCAACAGCTGCCTCACCCCCTGCCTCAATCGCTGCCTCAACAGCTGCCTCACCCACTGCCTCAATTGCTGCCTCAACAGCTGCCTCACCCACTGCCTCAAATTTCTGCCTCAACAGCTGCTTCACCCACTGCCTCAACAGCTGCCTCATCCCCTGCCTCAATCGCTGCCTCACCACTGCCTCAATCACTGCCTCAACAGCTGCCTCAACCACTGCCTCAATCGCTGCCTCAACAGCTGCCTCACCCACTGCCTCAACCGCTGCCTCAACAGCTGCCTCAACCAAATGCCTCAATCGCTTTCCTCAACAGCTGCCTCAACACTGCCTCTATTTGGTTTCAACAGCTGCCTCACCACTGCCTCAATCGCTGCCTCAACAGCTTTCTTCACCCACTGCCTCAATCGCTGCCCCAACAGCTGCCTCAACCACTGCCTCAATCGCTGCCCCAACAGCTGCCTCACCCACTGCCTCAATCGTGCCTCAACAGGTGCCTCAACCACTGCCTCAATCACTGCCTCACAGCTGCCTCACCCACTGCCTCAATCGCTGCCTCAACAGCTGCCTCAACCACTGCCTCAATCGCTGCCTCAACAGCTGCCTCAACCACTGCCTCTATCGGTCTCAACAGCTGCCTCACCCACTACCTCAATCGCTGCCTCACAGCTGCCTCACCCACTGCCTCAATCGCTGCCTAACAGCTGCCTCACCCATTGCCTCAATCGCTGTTCAACAGCTGCCTAACCCCTGCCTCAATCGCTGCCTCAACAGCTGCCTCAACCACTGCCTCCAATCGCTGCCTCAACAGCAGCCTCATCCACTGCCCCAATCGCTGCCTCAACCACTGCCTCTACCACTCCAGTCACACTCAATCTACAAGCACCAAACACAATGAATTATTGTGAAATGTTTGGAAGAGCACGGAGACAATGTTCACTCCAGCATAAACAAAGTCACACTGACGATGTGTCACCACTCCCTCATATTTTTGTACACTTCCTTCTTCAATTATATCGTATTTATTATTATTATTATATTTTTATTATTATTATATATTATTATTATTATTATTATATTGTTATTATTAGCAGTAGCAGAAATGTTTGTTTTTTTGCTGTGTTTTAAGAGTAAACACTGATGTTTACTGTCTAATACCTGTCCCAATAGCCATTCCAATATGCCCGTCAAGAATGGGTTTACATTATTTATACTGTAGTTTAATAGCAAATAATGAACAAACAAACACTCACCACACGAGTGGTGGGAGGGCTGGCTGCCAGTTGTGGGGGTCGGTGGGGGGGTTTGTAGGGACTCGCAGGTGGCGGGAAACTTGAATATGATTTGGCGGCTGGGAATTTGGTGGCTGGGAATTTGGCGGTTGGAATTCGCGAATGTGTGAAGCCGCGAAAGCTGAAAACGTGAATGTTGAGGGGAGACCGGTATTGTTAAAGAAACAAAAAAAAGAAATGATAATGTGTATGAAAAAGTTTATTACTTGGTGGAACTTTTGAATAATTAACATTTGATTACAGAGTTTTAACAAAAAATTTTTTTATAATACAAGCTTGGAAAGAAATTTTCATGAATTAACAGATATTTCCATAAAGCCAATAACATGCACAGCATTTAGGGCAGAAATTTACAAATACCTATACAAAATAATTCCCTGCCTTGGTGGGAAACGGCTGGGCATAAAAATAAAAAAAACAATGGGATCTTGAGTTAGAATTAATTTGTTCAGAAAGGGTGTTTAGTGCGATCCCAACAATTTGTTCCCCTAAG